TTCTTAACCAGAGTTATGCGAGGATCATTAAACAGATTGCAAAAAGGCCACCAAGATCCAGGATACGCGGACGTTTACGTGCGTGCGTGCCGCACATCGTGATTTGTAAATACACACCACATCCTGCTTATTCCCTTACGTGTGCTCACGTGTTTTCGCGCGAATATTATCTGAGCCAAGCCCGAGCCAAGGAGGCTGTAAAATATATCGGTTGTTATCGTGAAACGCAGTTGAAAGAAGCGCGCCCCGCGCTGTATTTCTTACGGTTTCTCTATGTTTTACTACTCGAGAGAGAGAGAGAGAGAGAGAAAGAGAGAGACTTGCATATTTACGCACTGGTGTGAATTGCAACTGGATCTGGATAATTAGTCGGTGTTCTCGATACGGTACGTTTAATATGGAAATTAAATCGATGAATCGTTTCTTAACTTCCTAATTGAATCGCGATTTTTAATTTTTAGTTTTCTTGGAAACTATTGCTTGGAATTTTATTGCATTCGTACGCGGTTTATATTTCATCGAAGATAACGGTTGGTTAATTATAATAATCTTTTGTAATGCAGTTGTTCGCATGTAGTTGTAGCTTCTTTATGGACGATTCCGATTTTTATTCGTTCCGTTAATTTAGAATGTACGAGCGTCGTGTCACGTCGGAAGAGATGAGAATAAGAGTTTCCAAGATTTATTTTCGATGAATTGCTATAATCTTTCGATCTTCGTTTTTCGTAAAAATTTATTGGCAATCGATTTATTTCTTATTTATTATTTCTTTATTTATTATTTCGAACGTTGTTACATACGAAGAATGAGAAATTCCTTTTAATCTTATGCAGAGACGTTAACGAAACGCGAACAGATAGATTTGCGTGGATTTGATATTTTCAACACGCTTCGAGAATTGGGAAGCGCGTAATTCGAGGAAAGAGAAGCATAAGAGAAGCATCGATACATCTAACCGCAAACAGGTATCGACGCAACGAAGAAGGTAACCACGAGATTGTGATACATCGGCGGATGAACCGTCGAAGCCAGACAATAACTGAACGACATTTATCCATTTACAATGTTCGAATACAACGGATAACACGGTGTGATTCTACGATAAATTTCATTCTGAATGAACGACAGAAAGAAAGATTATAATAAAATATCTTTTTTTTTTTTTTTTATAAATTAAAATACCAATAAACCTCAAATGAAAATTCTTTCTTTTATTGCAGTGAAATAGCGATTTGAAAATCGTGTATATATGAATGACGATCACTTTCACAATGGATGAATAGAGAGGAAAAAAAGAAATAGAGGAAATTTTAGCATTTTTGAACAAATGAAATTTTATCAATATATTAGAAATCATATATGAATGACATTCTTTTATCTGGTATAATGGTGGAAATAGTTGCATGCAATGAAATGATAGTTGCATCCTGTTAAACAGTTTTGTTTTGTTCACGACAATTGCTGCAACACCAACGCGTGATACGTAATCGCGCATAAATGACAGAAATTCCATTGAATCGGGTTTGTGCACGCCTAAATGCAGGGTTAAGTTCTAATCTGGCACGCAACCGGAAACGAACACGAGTGCTTCGCTTCGCCAAACAATGCTTTCGAAAAAAAGAAAAAAAAAAAAGAAAGAAAAGAGCTCAACAATGGAAAACAATAACGACAGACGGTGCGCGCAATACACATTCACGCAAGGGAAGCTTTGGTCAGTATTTTCCTGCTCCCTTCTTCCCATTGCGCCAATTTCACAGATAAATCTTTCAGGGAGCACGATTTTTCGCTCACTAAAAATGTTATCTTGCCCTCGAACGAGCCTATCTCGTTATATAAAAAATATGAAATTCAAATTTTAATCTCAGAAGAAATTTTCGAAGTAAGTTTTATCCTTGATTATTTGATTAAAGTGATATATTAACCTTGAGTATAAAAAAAAAAAAAAAAAAAAAAGGAAAAATGTATTATCATATTTTATTAGTCATAGATCGTATGATTATTTAAATATTCGAAAAAGCTAATTTCCAATCATAAAAAATTTGCATTTATTATTACCAAAATTAAATTATTTAAGTATTGAGATGTTGCTTAAATAATTTTTCTTTTGTGCCATCAAAATTTAACATAAAAAAATATATATATATACATCAATTTATAGAAAAAGAAAACAATAGAATAAATTTTAATTTGTGATAAGAGATAATTTCTTCAAGAGAAATTTAATTCAAAAGTTAAATTCGTGGAAAAACATATAAAGTAAAAAATAAATTATATTTTCTTTTATCTTACCTCGCTTTACCCATAAGATAATTGAGATAGTCATCTACCGCATAACTCAGCCTATTTTATCAAGTGTAATAATTTTTCAATTAAAATGATATCGATCGTATTTTTCTTTTTTTTTTATCGAGCATTTAAAAGCTCAATGAGATTTAATCGATCAGAATTAATCAGATTAACGTATTATTTTTTTTCTTCTCATTATTTTTGTAATAGAATAGAAAGAAACACGTGTTCACTTTCATTCAACGACAATCAAGGAAGGTATATACATGTTTTTCTGCAATTTGGCTACCGCCTTTGAGGAAACGCATTACTTTTATGTGATCCGGCCAACAAAAGTAGTCCATACAGAGATATGCACGTGACACACGTGAAAGCACCGCGAAAACGGATTGAGCAGCGTTAAGCTTTAGATCTCAAAGGGAAATTAATCGTTCTTTCTGCAATGGAAATCAAAATTGCTATTCCTTTTTCTTTTCTTTTTCTTCCATACATTCCATATATTCGTGAAATTTGATTCGTATTTGAATATTAAACGGAGATCGAGTTGAAAATTCGTAAATGGCGCTTGCGTTAACTTAATCAGAATATTATATGTAAATTTTATTGATTAACTTACGAAACTTATTGCATTAAAAAACTTCAAAATGAAAAACAATATTTACATTGTACGTTGATTTCGCTAATGTAAAATTTAAATAAAACCCGTTTTATTAAACTAACTTCTTGAATTAAAATTTAATATATATATATATATATATATATATATATATAAATGGTATGGAAGAGGAAAAAAAAAAAA